GTATCGTCGTAGTCATACGTCAACGGTCATGATTTGACTATTCCATCAATTTCAATCAAATTTGTGAGAAGTTCGCCGTAAGTCAATTTTGCTTGTCCTAAAACTTTCCTCAACGTTCGCTTTACAGTCCCTACCATTCTATCAAAAAAATCCACCACACCAAGAGGATTCATCAGGAATGAATTTCCATTCTATGTGGCTCTGTGATAAATACCCATGCACTTCTTCATTGTAACGTAAATCCTTAGTAACCTAGCAGCAGTTTTGAATGTTTTCGCGTTGTCCGAAACTATCAAACGTGAACGTCCTCTAATAGAAATAAATCTGTGTAAGCACATGATGAAGGTGTTCGTTAACAAATCTTGTACTAGATATAAATATACAGGCCTAGTGACACAGCAAGTCCAAAGCACGATGTAAAGTTTCCTTTTTTTTCCTTTTCCTTAACGTCTTGCAAAATCTACTCTTACATTCCCGAAAGTAACTGCCTGGCGTACTCGAAATTTAGGTACATTTTCTACTTCTGGACTGAGAAACCCTTTACCTTCATATATCCTACATTTCAAGCACTTTCCTATTATACTCTTTGCGACCTGTCTATTGTATAAAGGCAGTTTCATGTTTAGGTTTTAATCATACTTGTGAGTTGTCTACTCATGTATACAGTTTTGTGTGTGTTTCACTTCCTGTATCCTACAATGCATTGCCTTCCGCTTTGTTTATTTTTCTTAGTTGATTCTCTCTCTTGCCAAGAGATATATATTGTGTTAAATAAATAAGCATCCTAATCCACATCAATCTTAGATAAACAACACTGTCGACACTTTGGTATCAAAAAACTTGCTTCTAACCTGAGCCAAAGTCACTCTAAGCCCGCTATGTAGAGCTCTCTCATGACAAGCCTTAACGATCAGAGTGGTTAGTGGATGTGCTCTAGGTAATATTACTTGATCTCTACCTTTTAAATCTAAGTCAGCATTTTTCAACCTCCCCTGACATCTCAACAACCCATCCTTGTCTACAATTCCAAGTTCATGTGCTAATTGGTAGTAATTTGCCTGCAGACCAAGGTCATTCTGTGCTTTCTTCCACCACACCCTTTCTGTCTCTCTTATCTCGAAATCTTTTACAGTTCCTTTCCTCATCGTAATCATATCTTTGCCGGCGCGCAAATTCCACCACAAAGTACTTCCCTTAAGCAAAGACGCACTGCAAACCACGATCCTATATCGGCTGGATTTTGTTCCATTGGCCAATGTCCCGAGCTTAACTTATTGCTCAATTTCAAAGTCTTATTAACGCGATATCTAACAAATTGTTTCCATTCATCTTTATTTTCAATCCAACATAACACAGTCTTAGTTCCTACCCAATATCTACATCTCAAGTTATGAACCTCTGATACTATTGCCATCAATACAGTAGACATTAGTCTTGCTAGAATGAAGGCTGACATAAGTTCCAGACGAGGAATCGTCTGTGCTTTCATTGGAGCAACTCTAGCTTTCGATGTCAACAATTTGACATGCTAGGCGCCATTCAATCGAAAGACAATGTAAATTACAGCACAATAAGCTTTAACACTAGCATAAGAAAATCCATGCAGCATATATTTCACTGGCTTATCTATTTTTATATATACATCTGTCAACAACAATCTCTTGTATTATGCTCAAGTCATTTACCCATTCATTCCCTATATTACATATATTGCTGTTAATATCACTATCTCAGTCTTACACTTCCTTACAAATATCCTAGATCAAAATTTTGATTGTTACCACAATTAGACTAACTATTCCTAATGAATCTTAACGAGTAGCCAAAATGTTTAAGATCTTATGCCTAGTCGGTTCGACCCCCACTGCCTTTGATGCGATTCGGCCTATTTAAAAATGAAAAGTATCAAAATGAAAATTCTATGGAAGGCCTAGAACCCATTCGAATTTTGTCTCATTGTTAGCTCCGAAAGTGCTCTTCGCAAAGGACTCTTCTTCGGCTTGTGAAAGAGAATTTATAACAAGCTCACACTCTTCTCGTGCGATCATTTTACGAACTTTCGCGCTATTACTTAACCATTTTCGCAATCAAAATCCTCAATTCAACAACACCTTTTTGATTTGGAATTCATTTCTATCGCATCGTTTTCAGTTTTATTTCCAGAAATGAGATCATCTATATATGAACTATTTTTACGTTTCTGAACAAATTCGCCTTCACGTCCAACAAATTTATCAAAAATGGTAAATTTATCAAAGTGTTGCATTCAAAAGAAAAGGAGAACAGTTTACATCAAATACAACTCAACAAAATCGGAATACCATTGGTCTAATAGTGCAAGAATTTACGTCACCTACCCACAAAAATCGTAAAATATTGCGGTCTTCTTTAGTGACCTCAACGTTCAAAAAAGTCTATTTGATATCTGCAACAAGTGCAACACACGCTTTTCCCTAAAGTGCAACAAAATATTAAAAGGAAAAGGAGTCAAAGACGGACCGACATGCAAACAATCATTCAAGGACACACTATTCTTACTCTCCTTGCAAGACGCATCGTACACCACTCAAACATTGGTAGTTTTAGCTTCCTTTCTGATAACTGTGTGATGTGATAAATAATGCACTCTTTCTGTTTTGTCTAATACAACCACTTTCTCTATTTTTCCGCATTTTAACTGCTCTTTGATTAATTTATCATATTCGCTTAAGGTGTTTGAGTTTTGTCTCAGTTTCATTAGTTGTCCTTTACGACGTTTCACACTGACGTTATAGTTTGATGGCAAGGGATTGTGGCCCTCCTTCCAAGGAATTTCACTTGATACCTATTCCCATTAAAACTTATCCCATGCTGTAATGCTTCGTGCACTTGATTTCCTTCCCTTATACCTAAAGATTCCTAATCCTACAACTTGTTGATATTGTTAAGAACTTTTGGTTCTTCCGCGACAAAATTAACACAACTTACCTGCTGCGTTCGTGCACTTTCACACGATCCCTTAACTTGCTCTGACAGTACCCAACCCAAACTTGTGTCCACAGTGAACGGTTTATTAGGTTCTACCTGCACAGTCTTTCCATTTTGAAAGAGCCAAATATAATTTGAACCTATTAATACATCTATCTTAAACACATCTTTAGACTTAGACACATCTGAAAGCCATAAATCACGTAAATGAGGATACTCCTCCTTACGCAATTCAACGTGCTCATTTGCTACTTGACCTATTGATTCTACACCGAATGCTTCCATTTTAACCGATTTCGACCCATTTAAAGGTGCAATCTCAAGCTCAAAAAACATCTCGTAGCTGATTATCTCTCATCGCCTTCCCAAACGTTGTAATTTCAAGCCATGCCTTCCTCTTAATTGGTAACCCCACTGTCTTTACCGCCTTAGACCTAACAAATGATTTATGACTTGTTAGTATTGCTGCAGTTCCTTGCTCTTCCTTACCTCCGTAGTCCCTTTGCTGCAACTTCGGCTTTGAATGCTCTTCTCGCAGTTCTACTTCCGTTAACAGTTCCACAAGTAGCTCGTCCATCGTCCATTTTTCGTGCTGCTTTCCACGCAAAAGATTCAATCGAACAGTTACAGACAGCTTATCTAAAATCTTCTCATAACTGTCCTGGTAAACCTTCAGTGCTTGCAAGCCCCGATCGCCTCTTAAACAGCTCGTAGTTTGGCTGGATCTCGCATGCTGTAAACGGCTAGCAGATTCATTAGTTCTTTGATATGAGTCTTTTTGATGACGTGAATACGAAGATGTCGTAGCTATAACTGTTCTTTTGCACCCTCGTAATTTGCTGCCGTCAATGCATAACCACAAAATTTAGTCTTTGCTTTATCCTTCAATAAACCGCGAAGATAGAAGAACTTGTGGACGTCAGACAATTCAGCATTTTAGTCCACCGAGCTACAAATAGATTCCCAAAACTTTTGCCAATGCTTGATCTTTCCGTCAAATTTCTGCACCTCAAATTTTGGAAGCTTCACTCAATCATTTCGACGACTCAGTCCTTGTTCGTTTCCACTCGATCGAGTTGCGGTCAGACTCTACTACAGGTTTCAACGCTTCTTCTAACCTTCAAGGCGATTCCTTCATTTCAGTTCTCAACAACCCTGCTTCTTCGATTTCACTCAAAACAACGTCTTCTTCCAAGTCTTCAACGTGTTCTAAAATACGCAATATCTCACTATCAAGCGACTGGATATCATGCAGCTGATCTTCTAGCGTGATTTCACCGTTCTGTAACAGCTGTTTAGCTTCTAGGGCACTGTCCATCATTTCTTCGACTTCAGCGAGGATCCGTTTTACAAACCGGTGATGACCGTTTTGTGAGCGCTTCTTTTTTCTCAAACTTTCTATTTCACGATCCTGTTTTTTTTCAATCCATTTAATCAAAAACGATCCGGCTCGAAGGAAAATGTGTCGAGGAATCCGCTCCACAGCTGGTTTACTAACACTCTTCGTTTTGAATCTTTCATTTTACAAGCTAAAGAAGCTACAAGTACATCACTGGAGTATTCTTCCATCTATTACAGTTAATTATTTCCATGTTTTTTATACTATCGGTACTTACATAAGTCAAGCTTTCCTTTACGTCATTAGCAGTGCTCACTCTTTCATTGCGTTTCAAGTTCTCATGCATTGCAACAAAATAGAAGAAGTAACTACACAAAAAAAATCTTACAAAACGTACTTAAAACAAAAAATGTTAAACGGAAACTAACATAGTTACGACAATTTTATTGGTAAGCTAAAAAGAATGCAATATGTCACGAAGAAATTTTGGCCATCATAGAAGCTCCTCAAGCCTTTTTGTCAACCTATTTTGGCTTTCAAATACATATAATTCCTAAGTAACATCAGTATCAAATTTTTATCATAAAAAAATTTCTCTTACAACTACTGTATATGCGGCGTAGTTTTTAGACCTGGAATAGTTTTCAGCTGATTTTAAACACAACTCTGACATCTACCTTATATATTATTTTAGGTTGATGGTGAAGAGCTGATTGAAATACCGGTTTTCCTAAACAAAACTTTTCTGTACCCATTTCCAAGGCCATTTTTGCGATTAAATGAAGTAGGCAAAGAAAAAGCTGGACTATATATCACTCATCCAGTGTTTTATATGAAAAGTTTCCGTATAATTAACAAATGGCCAGGAAGTGATCAATTTGAAACTGAAAGTGCGTGGAAAAGTTCGTTGGAATGCCGCAAAAGAAGAAAAGTTTGTGATAACATGATTTACTATGGTGTTACTTTGAACAAACTTGTACATGGAAGTAAAATTAACACCTACTTTAAGGATTATGTTTCAAATGGAGACTATTCAGGAAAAGAAAAACAATTGCAGGGGTTGACCAACGCGCTGTCAATCATGGCAGATAAACCTGAAAGATTTGCTCCAGGTCTAGGTTCAAAATGTTCTCTTTTTTGTGAAAGAGTTGAATCAAAAAGTGAACTAGTTTTGTTTGAGAAAAATAACACAACCGAAGTAATCCAGTCGATACGTCTTCGAGTTTACGATATGGTAGACGGGCAAAGTAAAATTTCAAAAAATTGGCGAAGGATTCTGATAACAATGAAATGGGATGACAAGAACCCTCAAGTTTATGAGATTCCATTAGGTGGAATATTTAACACTGGCCTTGATTATATTCGGGAGGTGAAAAGTTTGACGACTGGCCTGAGGAATTTAAGCTGTGAATTAAGAGGTGAAGAAACCTTAAAAACGAGAAAATTTGATTTCACCGCTTATCTGTTCTATGAAATGCCTTTTTGGAAGTCTGCAAAAATTAGTGTAAAAGTACATGAAGGTTTTAAGCCTGCAGTGATTTGCTCACAGATCTCTTCAAAAAAGTTGACTTTTGAAAAGTATAACTTTCGTTTAACAGGTTATTTTAGTGCTAAACTAACGCAGCAAGTACTTTATCGTGAAGAAAATAAAGAACTTTTATGGTTGAAAAGTCAATGGGGGCATGTTGTAGCAATCAATTTCTTTCTAAGAAAATATGCCTATCATAGTATAATAGAAGAAGATGTATTGATTGAAACAAACGATGCAATTGCACCAATAATTTCCGGCACTGGTCTAGAAGATTTTTTTCACTATTTTCATACTTTTGAAAGTATGATAAATACAACAGCACCATTTAATGGTAACCCACACTTGTCAAGAAATGGAAAACATTGTTCAATCAACTGTTTTCGTCAAAACACAATGGATCCAATTTTGTTTACCACGGGAATTCGCATTTATCTTGAATCGTTTGCAAACCAGAGACGTAAGAGTTATCGAAAGTTTCTCAAAACGTCTTCTTCCATTAATCAAACTTTGTCTGCAGATTCTCTATACACGATTGTATTGTATTATGGAAACAAAGGAAAAGGGGGATTATATACTGATAAATTAATTTATTACAATGATATGCATGGTTTATCAAAGCGAATCAGTTTTTTTCCTAAAGAAGTTAAATTTTTCCCTGTTAGAAGTATGTTTGAAAATCAAGTTGGTGAATTTTTCAACAGAATGGTTGTTTCAATGGAGCCAGGGCAAACTGCAATTCATTCATTACTCATATTGCCTAATAATGTTGGCGTCATTCTTCGTCGAGAGTATCACTCAATGGTTCCAAACCAAAAAGCAAAAGTAACAGTTGATGGCAAAGAGGCAGGAATATGGTTTTGCTCACAAAGGGCATTGACAAAAGATTTTTCTCTAAGACAAAATGATTATCTTATTTCTCCCGAGCAAACTGCTGGGAAAAGATCAATCAAAGTTATGTTAACGGCAATAACAAGATGGGAAACCATTTCTATTAAAGTACTTACTGTTCTTTTAACAAACTAATATTAAACGAAAGATCTTTTCATTTGAAAAAACAAACATTGTCATGTATTAGCTTTAAGCAAATGTAAAAGAGTGTTTATTCATTGCATAAAAAAAGGCCTTTACTTTTTGCAAATGTATTCAAATCCTTTGATTAAAATTTTTAAAATCAAATTTATTCATCACATACTCACTCAGAATGAGCCTGTTGCACAAAGCCTGAATAGTGTTATCCATTGGGTAGCAAACATTTTCAAACTTAAAAAAAAGGGTGTTTATTTTTTTTCTACAAAGAAAGTTTGTAATCTTCAAAACCATATATTCTTTCAGTAATTGCAAAGCTCAAATCATATATTTCACTTTTATAAGAGATTTTTTTAACGTTCAAAAAATTTGCTCCCAGTGGGTAGCGCTATTCGGCCTTCGTAAAATCGGCCCCAGAACAATAGTAAAAAAGAAAAAATGCGTGATCTGATATCAAGACTATACATAATGCAGGCATATGTTCAATGATAAAACATTTTATCAAAAAAGCTTTCGGCTGTCTGTCTTCAACCTTCGACGGGTTATAAAAGAAATATAAGTGGTTTGTTAGTGACTCGTGTATCATATTTCTGCAAGTGATGTTTTGGTTTATCAGTGACATCATAGCCGTTGACACGTTTTTCGGGCTCGAGCATGTTGAAAAATGTGCGCACTAAGTCTTCAGAAGATGGCGTCTTGTCATGTGTGATTTTAGTAGTGGCATCTGAAATGAATTTATATGGGTAACCGTTTGTCTGTAATGCGTGAGTTATGTGTGTCTGTTTTTCCATCATTTATGAACATAACCTTGAATTTTCAATTTCTTTGACATTAGTGAGTGTCTATAAATTACTAATTAGGTGTTTTGCATTTTTGACGTCAGTAAAGAACTACTACATGTTCTCATTTCTATATATGGTTATTATTTGCATGTTAACCTTGTATACTTCATATTGCATGCTTAAATTTTTTTCTCTTTTTCTATAATCTTTATTAATTTGGCGTTTTAATTCAAAAAAAATTATTTTTTATATGAAATGCAAAATTTACAAGAAACTTATTAATTGTTTTGAAAAAATCATCTATTATTCATTGAAGGACTAACGTATCATATATTTGTTAAGTTTGTTTTATGTTGTGCAAAGGAATCAGAAAATCAACTCCAAACACATCAGACAATTCAAGTCCAAACACATTAGAAAATTCAAAATCAAACACATTAAATTGGCACAAAAGAAAACTTTTTTATGTGTGTGAAGGTGAAGATGTAAACACTAAATTTGAAAAAAATCCAGAAGAAATTCGCGAGTTAAAAAAAATTTGATTTGCAAAATAAGCATAAAGAATTCAGAGATACATTAATGCAAATTGAAATAATTCACACTAGAGAATTTGCAATTTTTATTTCACACTTGAAGATCTTCAAATTTTGCATGATGAATGCTTTGGAATAATTTTTAAGTTACAAAAGAGATATCAGATTTGCAAACTGAATACGAAAAATTGAAAGAGATGGCAGCGCAAAATAAGCAAAACAAGTTGCAGATTTAAAAGATTTTCAAGCTTTGGAAGATGATAGCCATTAATTAAGACATTTATTAATTGATTATAAAAGAATAAAAGAAAAACCTCAATTGAAATTTATATTAGCACAAGCTAATTTGGATGAACTTCAAAATTATCATTGAAGTCAATCTGTATCAGAGTGTGATATTTAAAATACGACAGACGAACTAAAGGCTGCTGAAGACAAAGTGAAATATTTTTTTGAATGTAATGATATCTAATACATTTCAGCAACTATTTTAACAAAGTGAAATATTTTTTGAATACAATGATGTTTAAAACAATTCATCAAATATTTTATTAAAACGTTCAAAATGTAGTCGTCTCTCATCTTTGCTAAGGTTGATATCCCAGGATAATAAAATAAAACCAAACTAATCATTACAATGTTTGATTAAACTGTTCTTTTTTCTTCCTCTTTGTGCTTGTTGTTTTTCTTTTCTTCAATCAATTTGAGTTCGACTTCTTTTTGTTTTTGCCTTTCTTTGGCTTTTTTTTTCAAATTCAATTGCTTCAAGATCATTCATGTTTATCATTTTGTCACATACATTTTTTGATATTATCTTGTTTATTTTTACCTCTTTTCTTTTTTGCTCTTTTATTTTTACAGCTCATCTTTTGTACCACAATGTCCGATTCTTTAGATATTTATCCATTTCACTTGTTTTCACTGCCTACTTTTCAATGTTTTTGCGATAAGTTTCTGGGTGAAACTGGGTTATATGAAAAAAATGCTTGAATTTTATATATTAAATTTTGCACAGATATAACTTGTGACCCTACAAACACACTGTTTTTGCGTTTAAATGTTTTACATACTTTAATAAGTGTGTTTTTTGTGATAACACAAACCACATCCCGTATTATATATTTTAAAGAATTTAACGGAAAAAAATTTAAAAACAATCATAGTTTTATTTAGCCAATGTCATTCAATCTGAAGATGTAAGATGTGATGACAGCAATCAGATTCTGTTGGAGTTATTATAACAAACTCGTATTGAGTATTTAATACATTAAAGGATGAAAAAATATTTATACGTAAAATTTGATACAAAATTCATATTTTAGATTTTAGAATTTACCAGATTTTTTTAAACAATTTGTTTCCCGCTACCGAATGTAAACCAGTATAATGTCCACGCCATCCGCAAACGTTTATTCCGCTTTGCGATTGCGAAAGGTGCAAAAAAGAAAACTTGAAGAAGCCCTAGAAAAAATCGTCTTTAAATCTCATTGACTTTATATCCTCAACAAAGCTTTAACAAAAATGTCGACAAGAAAATCAATAACCTTCTACATAACTATCACAAGAAACCGAGAAACCTTAAAAAAAAAACAAGACACTTCCATCCACACATAAAGAAACCGTAAATAACCTATCCTCGCACACACTCAAACCTGAAGAGCTTGCTCTCGTAACGAATGGACTGTATTACTCCATTATACCATTGAAACTTAACAACGCCGATATCCTCACAACCTTCGAAAAAATCCACTACACCATCACTAACAAGCTGAAAACCAATGACGTATATAGTCATATCAAGAACGAACTCATACACATTGCACAAAGTTACACCTCGTCATACTGTTTTTCACCCTCTGTTCTCAAAAACACTGCATCTTAAGGAACATTAAAGGAAATGGAGTAGTTATTATGGACATAAAGGTATATAATAATACATGCTTAAGTATATTCAACAACAAGTCCCAAGTTAAACCATTATATAATGACCCACACTAGTCAGTGAAGGCAGATTACAACGTTTTCTCAAAAATCTCAAAAACCAGGGCTCTACAAACAACCATATATACTCTTCAGTTTTCCCTAGTGGCTCACAACCGGCTCGCTTTTATGCTCACCCCAAACTTCGTAAACATAGAGAAAACTATAATGCCCCTCCCATTCGACCTATAATCTCTTCCACTAACTCATCTAACTTTGATCTTTCCAAGTACTTATCCACTCTACTTAACCCTGTCATATACAACGATTACACTATATCAGACTCTTTTAATATTGTTAACGAACTACACACCCAAAACTACGATTAACAACAACGATTAACAACAACGACTTTGATTACCAACAAAGTTTATAATGATATCTTCCCCAGAGGTTCTCAACCCTCACGCTCCTGTGGCTTACCAAAACTTCACAAGAAACGAGAACCAAAACAATCGCCTCCACTGCGACCAATAATTTCATCAAATAACTCGTACAATAATAATTTAGCTAAGTATCTTATTTCTCTACTAGCACCACTCATACCAGTTGACCACTCCAGTAAAGCTTCTTCAACTATCCTGGACGACTTCTCATCTTTGAATTCATCAACTTCTTGTCACAAATTCTTCATCTCCTTCGACGTTGAAAGCCTATTTAGTAACATACCACTTACTGAAACCATCAACTTAGCAATTGACCTTATATTCACTCACAACCCCAGGTTCAGTATAAACAGGACTGACCTCAAACAATTGTTTTTAATAGCAACAGCACAGACGCATTTTTTATTTAATGGAAATTTTATGACCAGACGGACGGTGTTGCGATGGGCTCTCCCTTAGCACCAATACTTGCCAATATTTTCATGGGCTCAGATGAACGAAACTGGCTAAACAACTACAACGACACTAAACCACTGTTTTACCACCCGTTTCGCTCATTCTAAATGCGTATTACTCAGAGTTCTAAATTTTAGAATGCGGAAGATAGCCAATTTAGATTGCTTTCTGTGCTATCTAAAGGCTATGTTTTGTCTCTCCTGACCTAAATATCTCTGGACACTGTTAGTGTGAGACAGACAGAAAAGATGGCGCTTAGTAAAAGCGGCAATCGCAGGTAAAACCATACTCTTTGACTGTGAAGGCATACTCTGCGTCTGGGAAACTTAGTAGGAAAAATATTTCTCTCTCTCCTAATGCTGTTCTCCCCATTCGCACGATCGATACATTTGAAGGCTTTCAAGAAAACCTTAACGAAGGTACAAATAATTTACGTGGAACTGGATCGCGATATGAAAGGAGGAGAGTGAATAAAAACGAATCCTGGAAGTCTTTGCAAGATAATTTAGTAAAGTCGTACATCGAAAATTGTGCCATGTTGCCAGGACAACTCTGCGTAAAATGTGTAGAAGATGGGATACCAGCAAAGAAAGCAGAAATTAGATGTCGTGATTGCAGTCACGGACAGTTCTACTGTTTTGAGTGTGCGGAATCCCTTCATCGAACGAGGAATGTTTTCCATTTGGTTGAAGTATGGAAGGTAAGCTTAATTCTTTCTGGCGGCACAGATGAATCCCTATAAAATTTGCCTGCCAGCAAAACATAAACAAGTTAAGTCGTCTATTAGAAGGCAATTCTACGTGATTATTTCCAAAAGACAATTCTTCAGATGAAATATTTTTGCTTTTTACATTTGGAATTTGGCTTGTTAAGCTCTAGTATTCATCAAATGCTCGCAATTTTTTACAACCATGTCTTAACTCTAAAGTAACTTAATCTGTAGTATTTTGTTAAAACTATCAATCATTTTCAAGAAGGATATGCTGCTATATGCTTTGCATGGTGCCTTATGG